TAATATATATATATATATATATATATATATATATATATATATATATATATAATTTGTAAAATATTTATTTACAGCTCACCTTGACAGGGTACGGAGCAGGCACTGGTACTGGCACCTTAACCGGAACCGCGACTGGCACGGGTTTCTCTACAGGAACCGTGATCGTCTTGGTCTGGATCACTGGGTAGGGCTGTGGCACCGGAACAGCGACTGGAACTGGGTGTGGGACGGGGACTGCAACCTAGGAATGTGAAGAAATTCATATTCGATTGTTCGTTTGTAAAAATAAATTATATAACATTTTTGTCTAACATAATTTTTTATTAATTTAACATTTATTTAATATATATTTGTGCGAGAAAATACTTAAAGACACAATTGTTATTTGCTGTGACATTGCCGCTAAAAGCTTTAAAGTTAATTGAATTAATTCATTACCTTGACAGGTACAGGACGATCAACGGGAACTGGATGTGGAACTGCGACGGGAACGGCGACGGTCTTCTGCTGAATGGCGACAGCGATGCCATGGCCATGGCCACCGCCCCATCCACTTAATCCACCTAATCCACCTAATCCACTTAAATCATTAAGTCCGCCGTAGTCTCCCAGGCCGTACAGGCCACGCTTCTTAACCGTCTTCTCTTCAGCGGCGAACGCCGCAGCGATTAACATCAGGCAGATCTGCAAAAAATATGCATTCATCATAGATCGATCAAGAAATATCCGTGGATGGATCAATTGGAAAATTTATAAAAATCAAATAATAATAAATGTAAGTGTCGAAAGGTAATATTAAAACAATAAATACTTTTAATAAATGTAATTCCACTGTTAATAAAATATTGAAAAATAACGAGAGTGAGAAAATGGAATAATTGGGAACATCAATCATTTCCAGAAATCGGTGGATCAATGCAATGAATCCAATGCATTAGATTCTAATCACAAATATCAAATATTTCCAAATTCAACGTTAGACTCGGCACGATAGCTTCTAAATATCGAGCCAAACAATTTGTTGAAACAATTGCAAATCCGAACAAAATCTCTGGCAAAAATCGAACAAATTTCAGCATTCACCGGATTCCCTCGCAAACCACAAGTATTACAACAGTTCTAACTTTGATTGGAGAGACATTGTGTGACAACACGTACCAGAGCCTTCATGTTGAATGTTAACTTTGGCGTGATATTCGCGCGTGAGTAAAATAGATCGGTTTCTGTCGGTGCCGATCTGGAAAACCACCCTTTATATAGGGAATCGACTTTCATTTCGCGCACCCTGCGCCCCGCCAATAGTAAAGGAAGCTAACAGCCGGCCTATCGCCACACCTACCTAGAGCCTAATGCTATTTACCGATATACCACACACACGCATACACACACAAATACGCATCTATATATTATAACATAGTGTACAACGATTGTATAACACGTTAAACGTGCGCAAGTCGCCGTTAGTAAATGGAACGTACGCTTGACCACTTTATGCAGATCTACATATGTACATATGCAAATGCATTTCGATGCAGCAGCCTTAACGAGACCATTTTTTACCACTCGTTGAAAGACCTACCGTGACACGGGTCACGAACGCCAAAATAAGCGGAATTTTGTCAGTAATTGCGTTGGAGCAGTTTAATTGTTTTTACGTTTGCTTCTATGATATTCTCTCTTACAAAATTGAAGAAATATAAAGTAGAATTTAATTAAACCGTTCAAATTGTTGTTTATGATATTCTTTCGTGATATGTTGTTGAACGCACAAGACATTCTAAAGTTGCTGGATGTTCTTTGAACGTCTATTTGTTGGACACATTTTTTGAAGAATTGGTACCAATTTTTTTATAATAAAATTATCAAATTATTTGTAGTTTTATTTAATTAATTATTTGATATTTAATAATTATTTGATATCTAATGATAATTTGGATAAAATATACTCAGAACGCGTTACAGAAAATATAAATATCGATAAAATATTAAAATAAAATAATTTTTATTAATAAATCGAACGATATTTTATATATTTAAAAGTTTTGGCTCGTTTCTCTTCTGAAATATTTTTTTTACATTGATAAACCAATGAGTTCATGTATAGATATCAGTTTAACATGTATAGATATGAGACCACGAATTTCTAATTAGCGCAACGCACACAGAGCGCGATACTAATTGTAACAAGCGAATTTATCCTCGCCTGTAATCGACGGCTGTACAGGCTTGCACAAGATTGCTCAATGCTTCATTATGAGCTAAAGCAGTTAGTTTGCCGCCATGCTAATATAAATCATGTAGCCTGCGAGGAACGCGATGTCTTCTATTGCCGTGCACTATCATTACATCACGCGCACGCTGCATAAGATGCAGGTTGTTCGCAAGGCAATTCTGCTGGTGTTATCATCGTCATCTGCAAGACTGATATGTTGGTTTAAGCATGATAAAAATTACCATTATTGATGTAAACCACCCGCTGTTTGATCTATAGCGATTTTATCTCCGCCCGCGTTGATTGATTTATAACGATATCTTTCCAGAGAAAATGATTGTTAGTTTGTCACATCTGCTACAAATTTTACTCGACATTTTGCGCTTTGATTGCCTAAATCAAAATTTTATTTACAAAAAAAATCAGTACTCAAATAATGCCCTTAACTTTGAAAATAAAGAAAAAGTGTATTTTTCATAAATAATAATATCTGATAAATACGTAAACATTAATGAACAAAATTCACAAGTATTTTTAATTGATAAAATTAATAGTGTTATGTTTCTCAAAACAAATATTATCTTCTATTTATCTATTTCTTAAATTTATTCAAATAAAAAAATTTTTTAAATTATGGAAGAATAAAAAAAAGGTTTAAAATTAAAGATTATTTTGTTTTCTAAATTTTGACTAAAGATAAAGAACGCGTGATTGATGGATTTTCAATAAAGTCTATCGATAGGAAAATACATTGCATTACTTAGGAGATAGCAGCAATGAATTGTCTAAAAAGCGACACCGTGATAAATAACAATCCGGAGATAGCATTCCGAAGTTGACATAAGGCGATTGCGTGTGTCACATTCGCGCATAAAATGGGCCTTCTACTGGTTCTCTACGCCCAAACAACCATTTCCTGGTTTAATGTTCATTTGTCTTTCATACTCGGAACACTATAAAGAGTCAGTCGTATATTTTACGAGCGATGGTTTAAATCTTTAGTACATTCTGTTAGTTATAACTTTACATTGCTCAGTAAACCCTTTTTATGCTTAATTTCTTAATTTATTAATTAATTATCTAATCTACTGATTTTTAATAACAGCATTTTAAAAAAACAGGCAATACATTAACCAGGCGACAATTATCCGGAAATAAGTAATAACTTATTCAACCGTAACATTGCGTCTTTGTCGTGGGAATAATTGCATTCTTAAGCCGATCGTTGTTCGAGACAAGTTTTCAGCGGTTAATTTACGTGCATTAAGGCATAAAAATGCAGTAATGATAGAGATATCTGACACGCTATTCGGGAAAGGGTCAATTTTACCTGCAATTACTAAGTGCAAGCTTTTGCTTACAAGATCTCGTAATGAGCGCAATTTATAGTGGAATGTCGCACAATCGTTCACTTGTATGCCTTTGATCCTAAGAGAACTAAGAGAATTGTCTATCATAGTATTTGTCTATATCACGAAAAGAGTATTAGTTTAAAGATTACTTTATTAAAGTTATTACAAATAGTAACCAGATATAAGTTTTATTAGAACAAAACAATTTTAATTATTTTTCTTTGTAATAATTATCGTAACAAAATAATGATTTCTTAACTAATTAAACTAATTTAAATCTGCAAACTCATCCGTGTGAATTAAACTTTCATGTGTTGCGTCTTTTATTAATTAGTATGCAAACTGTTATAAAAAATAAAGTTTACGATAATATTATAAATTTAAATGTTTAATTCGAGGTATTATTTATTTTAAATGATTAATTTAGTATTGTGCTTAAATTTACCGACTACACAATTGTTATGTAACGGTTTCGTGTGCAATTTGTTTTCGCCCACTACTTATCGAGTATGCAAATGTATTTGCTACTTTGTTGAAATTCTCGTATTACTGCTTCGTCTTAAAGTATAAAATATCGGCGATAATTCATTAGCAATACGATTGGTTTAATAATCCGTCATCCGTATTAGTCACATTCGTGTTACCGTATTTTTATTTCAGATGGTAATAGCAATAAGTTTGTATAATTTGCGATAAGTTTGCGTAAGAAATGAATATATTATATGGTTAAAGAATAAATATGATATAAAATTAGCGTGTGATATTTTGCAAGAGGAAGCAAAAATCTCTCATTTTACAGTGTCAACTTGTATTTCAAGGATACTTTAATACTTTGACGATACTTTCATAAAGATCGCATTATTCATGCAGCGTTTTATTATATTTTATATCCATTCTAATTCTGCTATATTTTATAGCATTTATATTTTTTTAATTAAGTTGCTTTAAATGAGTCTTAACCATGAGATAACATAATAAATCATTTTATTATTTATTGAGGAGAATTATTATTACGGAGAATAGAGATTGACGAAAGCGAAAAGTATGTGGTAATATTAGTCTTATTATTAATGATAATAACATGATCTATCAATTGAATCTATCAATCTTGCTATGAAAAGATTAATTAATCTTTAACAATAACTGGATGCATAAATGGTTGCGACATTCGGCAATTTTTCTTATAATCGATTTCTTTGTGCTCCATACTCATTATTAAGATCACAGGATTCACGGTGCAAAACCGGTGGAAGGATATTAACAACACGTGTATATACACAGAGGTGCATTACGAAAGCCAGGCAGACCGGGTTGTAGATCGCGAACGTCATTGCGTGCTCGTTCAAGCCTCAAGAAGAATTTGCCGTAGCGATAATTATGAGTCACACGCGAGAGATCCGGAGCACACATTCGCGGCTAATTTTGTAACAAGAGACGTGTCACTGTGAATAGCCGTCTTTTGATGTCAAGCTGTACAAAAATCAATGAGCAACGCCCTAAATTACAGACTCATGTTCAATCGCAGCATTCTTAAATATTATTACTGAATAATGAAAAAGTCTTTCCAACTTGTGCATATAAAATAATTTTTTAAATAATGTGCACCGCACATGTCTTTTGCCGAGGTGGATAAAGATATTTTTTTCTACACCCCGAAAGTCTCAGAGAAAAAATGAAAATGTAGTGTCGCGTGACAATCTTCCTGAAGTCGGAGAAAAGACGAATTTCTTGCGATTCCTTTGCCAGTGGTATTTAAGCAGGTAAATTTAAAATTTTGAAAAGTTTAAAAAGTCTAAAAATATTCAAATAGATTGATCTACTTAATTTTAGTCTTACATTTAGTAAGTATAAATTAAATTATAAGAATTTATATAAATTTATATAAATTTTAATAGATTTATATTTTTTTATATATGTATTAATTATTGTAAATATTTTAATTTTATTGTTATTTTATAACGCAAGTACATAAATATATATAGATATATCTGCATTTATCAGTATATATATATAGATATATACTAATAAACGCATATAGATAAATAAATAAAGAAAAAAGTAAGTAATATCAAAGAATAAGTGAACATATTTCAGGTTTATTATTCGGGTTATTTATTTAGAGCGGTTGGGTTTTTTTACAAGATTGCTCTTGCGCCCGTTATTCACCGGCAGGAGCAACTTTTGGTATTACAGATGAAAAAGGCGCGAGTGCATTATTTTTCGGCGATCGGATCGACGTGTATGCACAAGGCAACGTAACAAACGACGCGACCGGACCCGATCCTGTGTCGCGTTTACGTAAGATGCAGATCTTGATGTAAGTGCGGCACGGTTGCAGTTTTCACCAGCCAGTCGCCAGAAAGTGAGAGTCGCAGTAATGAGATTTGTAAAACTATATAATTTTTACAATCGTTTCAAAAAATTAATCGAACAAGTCAAGGAAAGCTAAGATATTTATAAAAATTTATCAAGAATCAAGAAATCAAGAAGCAAAGAAATTTATAGAGACATTTATAAAAATAATTTGTAAAATCTTGTAGTCTGTAATTGTTTTAGAAAATTATACAAATAAAACATATTAATATTGTATTATTCTTCAGTAAAATGGCAAATAAAGAATGCGTGTGTAATGTAAAAAAATTTCCGCAAAAATT